ATTTATTATTATTTTTTTGGAAATAGTAATAATCATAGTCATAATTACGGATCGATATTTTACGATTTCGAGACTAGGTTATTGCAATAGGGAGATCAGTTTGTAAAGTTACTAGGTTGGTACTTTAAGGCCCCCGACGAGCGAATATGTTTAAATTAGAATTCCAAAGGATCGAATACAGAATTAAGTTGCAAATGTAATTTTCGGTATTTAATCGGACGTTATTATACGATAGTAATTATTTTTCGGAAATAGTAATAATCACAGTCATAATTATAGATAGATATTTTAGGATTTCGAGACTAGGTTATTGCAATAGGGAGATCAGTTTGCAAAGTTACAAGGTTGGTACTGTATCGCCCCGCGACGAACGAACATGTCTGTTTAAATTAGAATTCCAAAGGATACAGAATTAGCTTCTAAATGTAATATCCTCTATTTAGTAAAAGATGCGAAAGGAACAGATATGAACGCGAACCGTTTTGGTTACAGGAACACTGCCGGGCCAATGCCGTTGCTGCCATCGCCGTCGCCGCGAACGTACAAGAAACGAAGTTGGATGCGTGGGAAAGAAATGCATCGGCGGTTCAAAGTAAATCGCCAATGATCGTGAAAGCCGCGGATCGTGCGTCGAGGAGAGAAAAGAAACTCAGTTAGTATTCGTTCGACGTGAATCTCGTTATTCGAGGACGGATGGAAACGATACGCGGGAAATAAGAAAAAGAAGGAAGGGAAGAAAGAGGTAGCGGAAACGAATCGAGGAGAAAAAAAAGGCGAGCGAGTACCATAAACTTTGAAGAGAAAAGAGAGAGAGAGAAAAAAAAAAGAAACGGCGGACTCTCTCGGGCATCCTCGCGACAGGGCGAAGCCGAACGTGCGTGTGCGAGTGCCGAAGCGTCTCTGGTGTGTGCAACGTAAAAACTGTATTTCACCGTTCTGCCATCTTGAAAGTCATCCAATTTCTCTCTCCTGGCGGCGCTGGCTCAGTGCGCGGGAAACGTGCACAGTGCGTGCATCGTACACGCACTGTGCTAGGCTTTTACGAGCAAGGATACAACCTCCGGGATCCCGTGGAACTGCGAAATAACGGTTCACGTCGACGGTAGAATAAAACAGCGATGAGACCGGGCTCGCCGATAAGTTTGCATCATCGTGGCAGCGATAACGAGCGCCGTGGCGGTCGCGGTAGCAGCATCACCGGTGCCACCGATACGTACGTCACTACCGGTAACGCCAGAAACGACGATGATTCAAACGGCGACGAAAAATCGCGAGTGGTATACAGTGTCGTGTGCGAGCCACGTGGCAGTGACGAGATTCTCGAGCAGTTGCGTTTCGACGAGGTGTACCAGCACTGATTGCGAGTGCTAGTAGAGAAAGAGAAAGCGGCCGATAGAGGGATAGAAGCCAAGACTCTCGCGGAGAGCAGGCCACCGAAAGATATGCGGATCTTTGTGCGAACAGCTGAACCGGAAGTTGTGAGAACAAGTGGAGTGCAACGCGCTCCGCCTAATCGGTGATAGGGTCAGTCGGTTGAAGCAAGATAAAAAATTGGGCGTTCGGCCGGCGACGGAACCGCGACACATTTCGCGATCACCTTTTCACCCCTCAACCCCCACCCTCTCCCGACACCCTACCCCTCGACCTTTCTCCTCTTTTTTCCCCTCGTCTCGTCTCGTCTCGTCTCGTTTCGTTGAACCTTCTCGTCTCCCTTCTTTCTCTCAACTTGCTACCGACTCCCTCGTTTATACTTTCTTCCCCCTTCTCTCTCTCTCTCTCTCTTTCTCTCTTTCTCATCTCCCCACCACACACACGCATATGCTCTCCGTTTCTCGAACGTGTCTCCTCTGCTCGGTATTAAATGTTCGTAAACGTGACGCATAATAAACAATTCCGACGGAAGGATAACGGAAACGACAAGTCGCGTCGCGTTTCTTCGTAATCATGAAGGTATACTTTCCCCATAAATGCACCGCGTTACGTTCTCGTTGCACGAAGGTAGTAACATCTTCGCATCGAGTCCATTTTGTCGAAATTTTATCTAGATAATCGTTACGAGTACGAACCAATGTCACTTCGAGAACTATTCCTTCGGTCGATTTCGAATCAGTGACGATTCGAACGAATTTTATTTTCGATCCCAGTCGTTACCACTTCCTATCTTTATGCAACAGTGCGTTAAAGAGGTTCGTTGACGCGACGCGTTCTTTTCGCGTGTATCGCGCATCCAGCCGTGTTTCGTATCACGTAAATAAATAAACGCGGAGTCTGTACCTTCGTGTGCGTCGGTCCGCCAGACGGCAATTATTAATTTCATGTTTCTCCACCTGTTTATCCGCAGAACTCGTCGCTGGAGCATCAACGGTCGAAGCTCGTAAAGTCCGGTTAAGTTGTGTCGCCTAGTGTTGCGATTACGATCAGTGCGGAAAACGACGGAAAAGTGTACGCGGCGAGGGATATCGGCGAGCGACAAGGGAAGACAGAGAGAGAGAACGAGAAAAAGCATGAGGATGAAAACAGTGTGACCGGTGAAGTAAAAAAGGAAATGATAAGAAAAAAGAAAGAGGGTTTTTGAACAAGATACTGTGGGAAGCAGGAAGGTTCGCCGACGTACAGTAATGTTGTGGATTACCGTGTTCACCGAAAGTTTTTAAAAAAGTCGTCATAGAGTTTATACATAGATCGGTTGGTATACTCACGTATGTGCACGCGTACGTATGTGTGCGTGATCACGCGCGCACATGTACGTGATTTTCACTCGAGACTGAAGCGGTGAATTATTCTCGCACGGATCGACCGCTCGTGGGGGAAATTCGAGATCCGGCTTACCTTCGAAAGCTGACGTCATTACCGGTAAGTTGTTTTTCCGTTATTAGTAGCCTTACGTACAGAGAGATGGGCAGAACTCCTATCTATCGGGTTGTCCGGAAAGTTCGTGCCTATTTTTAGGAAAAATTCAAAGGCATATTTGAATCGACGAGCGAACGACAGTTGCTCATCAATCGGAATTGAAATTACACGATAAAAGATGATATTAAGACCCGTGCGTGCATGTTAGAATGTACAACAGGCCCCGAGTATAGTTACGTGCATGGTGGGGATTTTTATTTTCGTTATTTTAAACTAAAAATGTTGCAACCGTTTCCCTTAACTGTTTTCTAGTCGATTATCCTCCGTTCTTATTTTGTTAAATATATGCCTGTTATGGAAGTATTACGTAATACGTAACGTATTGTAATACAGGGTGTCCCAAAAATGTTGCAACACCTTGAAGGAGGTGGTTCGGGAGGTGATTTGAAACAACTTTTTCCTTAGCGAAAATGTTGTCCGAGGCTTCGTTGAGGAGATATTAACGGAAAACACTGACCAATCAGAGCGCGCGTAGACCGTTGGAGCGGCCGCGGTAGGCGTGACTACGCGCTAGGCGGTCGCGCTCATACGCTACCGCGGCCGCTCCAACGGTCTACGCGCGCTCTGATTGGTCCGGAGTTTTCCACTAATATCTCCTGAACGAAGCGTCGGACGACATTTCCGCAAAGGAAAAAGTTGTTTCAAATCGCCTCCCGGACCACCTCTTTCAAGGTGTTACAACATTTTTGGGACACTCTGTATACACAGAGTAGAGGTGATTTGAAACAACTTTTTCCTTAGCGAAAATGTTGTCCGAGGCTTGGATGAGGAGATATTAACGGAAAACACTGACCAATCAGAGCGCGAGGATGCTGCTGGAGCGTAGGCTACGCGCTAGGCGGCCGCGATCATACGCTACCGCGAGCGCTCCACCGGCATACTCGCGCTCTGATTGGTCCGGAGTTTTCCACTAATATCTCCCGAACGAAGCCTCGGACGACATTTTCGCAAAGGAAAAAGTTGTTTCAAATCGCCTCCCGGACCACCTCTTTCAAGGTGTTACAACATTTTTGGGACACTCTGTATACACAGAGTAGAGGTGATTTGAAACAACTTTTTCCTTAGCGAAAATGTTGTCCGAGGCTTGGATGAGGAGATATTAACGGAAAACACTGACCAATCAGAGCGCGAGGATGCCGGTGGAGCGTAGGCTACGCGCTAGGCGGCCGCGCTCATACGCTACCGCGAGCGCTCCAACGGCATACTCGCGCTCTGATTGGTTCGGAGTTTTCCACTAATATCTCCTGAACGAAGCCTCGGACGACACTTTCGCAAAGGAAAAAGTTGTTCAGAATCGTCTCAGCTACCCCCCCCCTATTTCCGGCTCCTCCCCGAGTTTTGGGACACCCTGTATATCATCGTCACAAACGCGCGTAAAAATCTCCGGTTCGTCGTTTACCGATTGCGAATCGAGATAATAGCCGAACTCGACCCCAGCCCCGGGCACAACCCTAGCTCCGTTCCGCGAAAATTAGCGGGAGAAAGGAGAGGACGGGATCGATGTATGTGTACGCAAAGAGAGAACGTGAATTTTTGAGTAGGCGAGTATTTATTTCATTACACGCGATAGACCGCGGGAAGGGGTGTAGCCGCGAGGGGGAAGGGGGGAGGGTGCGGGGGAGGAGGGGGGGGGGGGAGGGGGGAGGCGGGGCGGAGAAGCCGCAGAAAGCCCGGCACGGATCCTGGTAATATCGCGAAAAGTGTTTGCTCAGCTTGTCTCGACCGAGCTCGGAGCATTAAACCGCGAGCGTTCTTTCGTCTCCCCGGGATCCAGGGAGCGATACCGACCTCTCAATGTGTACACTTCTGTTCCCGATTATACGTTGCGAGCCCGAAGGGCTCTGTTTCCTTTCTCCTCGCCCCGCTGATTTTCGATTCCACCGATTGAAACGGCAATCAGCGGGAGTACTTGTTCGCGGAAAACGCGACAATTCGACTAACGGCACCGACAACGTCGGTGCGCGCCGATTTAAAGACGGAACCGATTCGGTGTTGTCGATTTTTCCGAACGGATTACTCGTTTTCTGCCGATCGACGTCGCGTTTATTAATGCCGCGATAGAAAGGTAAATAAGAATTGCGCGGCGACCGGGTTTCGGGGGCGGTGTACGGGGCTAGGGCGGTGGACCGGTGATCCAGGACTTGCTAGGATCGATTCACGTTGGATCGTTCGCGAGAACTGTTTAACGAGATCCAACAAAAGTTTCTTTCGCTTTATTGATAAGTAATACGTGCACGATGTTTTACGTTTTACGTTGCGTTACCGAATTGCGCATCTCACTTTGCTCCGGTACTGTTACAACATGCACATCTATGAAGTTTGACTACGATACATACATCGATACAATATATATTGTCATACGTGCATTTATATATATATATATATATTTTGTCATACGTGTATTTATTATCATATATATATATATATATTGTCATACGTGTATTTATTATCATATATTTATTATCATATATATTGTCATACGTGTATTTATTATCATATATTGATATGTCATATGTCAATATTTCATATGTGTATGTATTATCATGTATTCATTCATATATTCATATATTGATATGTCATAT